CTTAAGAATCCGATCAGAAATTAAATTCGAACGGATTAGTTGCGATAATAACTTTTGCTCTATACTGTCGAATTTATTTGTAATTAATGTTTTATATGATGTATGAAATTTTTATACTGCTTCAATTATTACCTGAGACAGTGAAAATCCGGTAGTATTATGTTTAAATTTTTTTTTCTATTTATAAATCAATTTAATAAATTATTATTTATCATTATTTATTATGTATTTAATTATTTGTTCTGTATGTAGAAAATTTCAATTCTTCTCCTTAAAGTACAAATTTATTTATTTCTTTTTCTTTTCTTTATTTTTTTTTTAATTTTTAAAAAATATACCAATAATAGAAAAATTTTCAAATAGCTGAAATTTTGGAAAATTTAATTGAAAATAATTGATTTTATTCATTTTTATTCAAATTTTTGAAAATCAACTTCTGAAGAATTTTAATTGAAAATTATGAAAATAAATTGAATTCTTAAAAATTTTAATTGAAAAATCCTCAGGGAAAAATTAAAAAATTAAAATTAACGAAAATTTGTTTCTAAAAATTGTATAAAACATTTTTGAAAAAAGTAATTCTTCTAATGTTTTCATTCTAATTTTTTACAATTCAATTATTTGCAATATTTTTGAATTACTTACATATTTCCGAAAATTGGTACAAAAAACAATCTGCACATTAAAATTTTTTATAATTATTTTTAACAATTTGAAGAAAAGAATCATGTTGAAATTTTTTAATTAAAATTCTTCAAGAAACTAGTTTTTTTTAATTATACAAATTTTTTTTTTTAAATTCAATTATTTTCGAAAAAGTATAATTACAATTTTTTTAAAAAAACTAGTTTTTAGATTTTTCTCACAATTAAAAAGTAAAGAAAAAAGTAAAACATTTTTCTTATTATTCTTTTTTTCACAAATATGATACTAGAATAGTATACAAATATTATATATAATAGTATACAAAATTTGTCTGACCAAAAATGAATTTTACCACTGTTGGTAAGTTTTTTATAATTGAACAATTTTATCGAAAATTTGACACATTTTTCTTTAACTGAAAATTAAGTTTTACTCTTAATAAAACTCTCTTCTTTTCAAAATTATACACTTGAAAAAAATGCAGAACATTGTCTGACAATTATAGACATTTTCCACTGCTGCCTAAATAATAACATGATGTCTGACTAAAAATGTCTTGAACTACTAATTATAGAATTTTTAATATTCGAACAAGGATTTTAGTCTGAAGGGAGTCTTTTCACTAAATACCAATATATTTAAAAATGTAGATGAATGTCTAATTATTGACGACTTTTTCCACTAATACCGAAATAGTTAAAAAAAATTGTCTGACTACAAAAGTATTTTACCACTCATTGAGAAGGAAAAAATTATATATTTTTTTTTATTTTTCTAGTTTGTTTGCAATGTTGCCTTTCCTACTGACAACATTGTTACTTCAAAATAGAAATGTCTGACTAAAAATGTCCATTTTCACTGAAAAATTTTTTTTGATGAAAAATTCACTAATTGCAAATTTTTATCTGATTTATACTAATTATTATTATGCATATAATAATTATATAAATATAGCTAATAAATAAATAAATTTTTACTCCTTTTTTTACTAATAATGATAAAATAATAAAAAACTAATAATTATTTTTCCAGTTATACTAAAAAAATCGTTCTTGTCGTCTGAAAACTACAATTACTACTTTAAATTACAAATTATTTTCTTTACTAATACTAATTATTTTTTCGTAAATTAATTTTTTTTTTTAAATTATATCGTCTTTTTCCACTGACAACACTTTTAACGAAAAGTAGAAAAAGAAGAAGTAGAAAAAACATTTCTCGCTAACAATAAAATTTGAAAAATAAGACAAAAAAAGAAGCTATGCTGATATTTAGTGTTAGTCAGCACATCAACTTATCACTCTGAATAGTAGAGAAAAAAATATTTTTTCCTCGTTTTTTTTTGAGCTTAAATTATCTTATCTAATATTGAGTCTGGCAGAAGAAGATATATCATTCAATATATCGGTAGAAACTATCAATGGAGAAAACCAAGGAGCCGTCCAAAGAGTTTCTAACGATGATGTATCGTGGCAACTCAGGACCCTGAGTTGAAGGTACACTCTTTCTCGTCTGTCACGAGCAGCATCCCCAACACACATTCACATTTACTATATATACATATATATTATAAAACCCCCGTTGAGTTACGAACTCAGATGGCTAGTGTAGTCGTTCATCATAACTCGCGCGCGCAACCATATAATGTAGAAAAAAAATATATTAATTCATCGACGAAAAAATTAATCGCAATTCTTACGATGAGAGAAAAACGATTTTTTCTTTATCGCCAGCTGTCAAATTTTGACCTCACGAAAGAAAGAGAAATTAGGCAAATATACCTATTTTCCATTTTTTAAAGAAAATATTTTAATTTTGTAACAAAAAAAATTCTAATTGACAAATTACATGCAATTTTTTTTTTATAAAATGCTTATATTTATTTGACAAATCGAAATTATGCAAATTTTATTTTCTATTTAGAAACATTAGAAAATTGTTAAAAAATAGTAAATAAATATCCATTTTATGCATAATTTTTATTTCTCAATAACAATTTTGTTTTACAAATTCATTCTTTTATTTTGGGAAAAAAAAACATTACATATTCCCGTTTCTTAATATTTTTCTAGGAAATTTTCAATTTTCATAAGGAAATAATTTCAAAAATAAAGGAAAAAAATGTTTATAAATTCTATTTGTCAATTACAAATTTCCATTGAAAATGAAAATTTTAAAATTTTTAGAAAATAAAGAAAAACTTAAAAAAATATTCCGTTACATTTTTATGAATTTCTTTAATTGTAAAATTATTCAAAAACATCAATAGCTTCTTTTTTAAATAAATATTTAATTATTATTATCTTACGACAATTAAGACATTAAAAAATTTCAAATTCAAACCTTTTTGAAATTAAGCAACTTCTAAATGTATTTTGTTATAAAACATGAAGATATCGATTGCTCCGAGTCGAAGACTCGGAGTGATCGATTTCTTCATGTTTTATAATAATTTATAATAATTAAAAATTTTACGAAAATAATTGAATTATCCCGAAGAAATTTATAAAAAAAAATTGTAAATAATTGAATTCCTGCGTGGAATTTTTATTATTTTTGAAAATAATTAAATGTTTGTGTACAATTTTATTAAATTTTTGTTTTAAATAATTGAATTCTTTTCGGAAAATTTTAATAAAAACTTAAAATATTAAATATTAAAAATAATTGAAATTAGGGCAAGAATTTTATTGTCATTTTTGAAAATAATTGAACTTTGGGGAAAAATTTTGTTATTTAAAAAGATAATTTGTATTTTGACAAGAATTTTTTTTTTAATTCTGAACATAATTGAATTTTATTACTTTTAAATTTTAAAATAAAAATAATTGAATTTCTCCAATTATTTGTAATTTTTCAAAAATTTAATTTTTTTAGTGTTTTCAACAAAAATTTGAATTAAAAATTTTTAAATTCTATTAGGTATTTTTAAAAATGGCTAATTTTATTTAAAAAATGAATAAAAAAGTTAGCCGCGCGCTTTAGCGAGGGAGTTGTTGCTAGTTTGTTATTAATTAAGTTAAATTAGTTACAAATTGAATTAAATTTGTTACAAAATCATTTAAGTTTGTTACAAACTGAATAGAATTTTGTTATAAATTAATTGAATTTGTTATAAACTAATTGAATTTGTTATAAATTAATTGAATTTGTTATAAATTAATTGAATTTGTTATAAATTAATTGAATTTGTTATAAAATAATTGAATTTGTTATAAATCAATTGAATTTATTATGCATCAATTGAATTTATTATAAATTAATTGAATTTGTTATAAATTAAATTGAATTTTTTAAAAATTTGAAAGAAATTTATAAAAATTAAATTGAATTTGTTATAAATTTAATTTAATTTGTTACAAATTCAATTTTTTCACTTACAGATTTTGTTTCTGTTTGTAATAAAATTTAGTTCAATTCAGTTTGTTGCAAATTAAATTTAGTTTTGTTAAAAATTTAATTTAATTTCTCATAAATTGAATCTCATGTGTCAGAATAATTTTATTAAAATCATAACTTTATTTTTTTTCTTTACAACAATTATTTAATTTATTGCAAATTAATTTGTCTGCTAAAAATTAGTTTGCTAAAAAATTATTTCAAATTTTCACTAAATATTTTTTATACTAGAAAAAACTTTAATTGAATTTATTACAAATATCACTTTAATTGTTACTTTAATTTACTTCTCGACAAATGTAATTTAGTTGTGCACAGCTAAATTATTTCACTTATGCAAATTTAATTTATTCTCGTTACAAATTAAATTAAATTTTGTTGCAAACTCTCTACTTTGAGTTTGTTTCAACAAAAACTTATCTTGTAAAAAAATTCAAAAGATTTATTACAACTTTTATTTTCATTCTTGAAAAATTGTTTCTGTAGCTGCAAATTTAATTCAGCTTTTTAAAAAAGTAGTTGTTTAAAAAAAAATCAATTTGATAACAATTTTAATGTAATAATTTTCATCAAATTCATTTTTATTAATTTTTTAATTAATTAATTTTAATTAATTAAAAAAAACAATTTTCTACTATAATTCATTTACGAGAAAGAAAATAATGTCCTTAAAAAGTAATTTTTTAAGTTTCACTCCCAAGATTAATAGAATAAAAATTGAATTTTTTAAAATAGCAATAGTCTTTTGTCTCTTTTCACTCTCTCTCTCTCACTCTCGCTCTCTTTCTTTTTCTCCAAAAGAAGGTGTGTGTGTGTGTGTGTTCAAAAACTATTATTTTCTTACAACTTTTCTGTCATCTCAAATCAGTCGTCGAGATAAAGTGGTTTATGTTGTCAACACTTTGCAAAAATATTGAGAACACTTGGGAAGTTTAAGTAACATTGTCTTTGTACACAAAAGCGCATAAAAACGAGGACAAAGTAAGTAATCGCATTCTCTTTTCATTCAGTGAATTTCTCGTGGAGACAATATAAAGTATAATGAATCGATTTCATTTTCTTTTTTATTAACAAAAAAAAAAAAAGTAAAAAAGAAATGAAAGCATTTATATTTTCTTTTCATTTGAGTTCTTCTGAATAATAAACTTTTTTGCATAATAAGTTTCCTTTCAAGAAGTGTAAAAATAAAATTTAGGTTAAATTTCACATTTGCTGTCATTATTACTGTTCTTATTTTTTTTTTCTTTAATAAATTATCATTTATGTAAAAAGTTTTTCTTTTTAGTTTTCTGTTCTTTTTATCGTGGATTTAATTTTAAATACTATGTATTACAGAAATAGAACATAAAACATTGCAATTAAGATTAAATTACTAAATTATTTAATTATTAAATGATAAGGAAATTACTGTCGAATAATTTAATTAATAGCTTAATAATTTAAATAAATAATTATCATGTAGGTATTGATTAACGTTAAATTCATATTTATAAATATTTTAAACTTTACACATTCAATCTTTAGAAAATTAATTAACAATTATTATTTATTGCCATTAATTATTTATTTAATTAATTAATTGATTAATTAACGAAAAAATAATAATATTCTTTCTTCTGGAAGATGTTTCTTTAAAAAAAAGTTTCTAGAAAAAAATTCATTTTTCAATAGTAAATAAATTTTTAATTAAATTGTTAATAATAATTGTTTATTTTGTATTAAATTGCATTTCCTGCAAATTTAGAGCATTTATGCGCCATCTCTTCACTTCTCGTAGAATTCTTTAGAACTTTAAACTCATTCGGTACATGCTATCGATTTTAAAAATAAAATTATTAATAATAATAATAATATTATTATTGTTATTAATTATTTTGATTTATTATTATTTTATTTTATACTGTAATAATTATTTATAATTATATTATATTTTTTATGATTTTACTTTTTATTTATTTGATATACAACAATTTTAAATTAATGATTTTAAAATATTATAATAATTATACAGTAATTATAATATTATAATTGTTAATATAATCGTTTTTAAACAAAAATAGTCTCATTTAATTTTATGGCAATTTTTCTATTTTATTGTTTTTAATTATTCATTTATTTTAATTTTGAATATTACTTGAAATATTAATCTTTTGAAAAACAAAAAAAGAAATAAACAGAAATTTCTTTTAAAGGTTTATGCAATGTACACCCTGTCATGTTTGCAAGTGGCATACGAATTTTTAAATCGCGAATGGATGTATTTAATTTACGGCGATCAGAAAAAAACCTGTTACAAAATATTGAAAACAAAAATACATCAATTATATTATTACATATTGAATTTGTTTATTGGAAAAAATCGCAATGATTGGTATTCAAAGGATAATTATAAATTTTTAATTATCACTCTTGTCACGAGTTTTGGAATTCTGTAAGATATATATTTTTTCAAATCGAAAAAATTATCATTACCGCATTACAAAAAAATTTCCATTATCATTTCAATTAATTAAAATATAGGTATACAATTTGCAAAGTAATAATAATCGACTGTTAATTTTTTTTTATTAATTATTAATTAATTTATAAATCTTATAATTAATTCTAATTTTGAATTTTGAATTGAATTTATTATTAATTTTAATTTCAATTAAATTTCAGTTTAAATTCACAAAAAAAAACTAATAATGTTTAAGTTGATAATAAAATTGGAAGAAAAATCTCTCTCTGTATACTTTTCTTAAGAAAAAATCATATATATCTTCTTCACAGTTTTACTACTTACAAGGTAATGAAAATTTTACATTCACCGGAAGTGAAGAATATTATGGAATCACAATGGCGAAGAAATGAAAATTCCAACAAGATGTCTTCTGCTTTTCATGAGAATAACAATAATAATAATGAGAGCTCTCAAATAACAAACGATTTTCCTGGCGGGACATCTTTAACTGCCATTGTAAAACCGACAATTCGAAAGAGAAAAATGAGAAAAAGTTTAGATAAAAAAAAATGCAAATTTTGTTTTCTTTTTTATGAATTTAGACTCTTTTTATTTATACAAAGTTATTAATTACTTTTTTATTAACAATCGATTTCATTTATAGTTTATTTATTTTTTATTGATTGTAAATATATTTTATTTATCATTTATCAAGAATTTATTTATCATTTATTAACTTTAACAATTTATTTATAATTTTCTATTAATTTAACGCTGACTTTGTATAGATGATAAATATTCCGATGGCGAAAACTCTTCAGATTCTGAAATCAGTGGATCACGAAATAACTTGATCATGGTAAATTCAATTTAAATTAATTAATTGCAATTTTTCTTCAATTCATTGAAAAATTAAAATTAACTTTGAAATTCAAAAATTAAAATTAAAATAAAATTTAAATAAAAATTAAATAAAAATTGAGATTAATGAGAAACTTAAATTGTAATTAATTATTAATTACAATTATTACCTAATGAATTATTTAATTACAATGATTATTATACATTACAAAATGAATTTCCATAAATTAAAAAAATAAATTAAAAATTAACGAGAATGAAAACAAAATTTTTTCTAGAATTTTGCGGACAATTTTGATTTTCTAAAACCACTGAAAAAATGTACTTCATCGTTACGTGTTGTAACGAGTAAAGATTCCCTCAATGAACAACTTTTCAACAATTTGCCAAATATGAAAAATGAAAATAAAAGAACAGAAAAAAATGAAAAAGAAATAATTTCAAATGAAATTAATAATAATGAAACATTTGCAATTCAAGATACAAGTTCAGTTTTTGAAGTTGATGATTGTGTATCATTAGCACAAGATTCAATTAATCCTTATCAATTTTCAATGCTGACATCACCTGACACAGTAAAATATAAATTTTTTTTATCTAATCTCATCATGTTTTACATTACTATTTTTTTGCTTTGATATATATCAAGAAGATAATGATCATTTTAATTTTGTATTTTCTTTATTAGCAATCAATTCGTAAGAATTCTTCCTACGTCTCGGGACATTTTGTGGAAAATTTTCCTGATCTTGATTTGTCACCTATACCAAATATTTCGCCGAAAAATGATAATTGTCAACAATCTAAAATCGAATTTAATGATAAGGAATCTACGCATCTGAAAGTAGGAAAATTTTCTATTTTTCTTCAAATTAAAATAAGTTAATTAATCATTCAAAATGTAAATTAATAATTAACTAAAAAATAATTTAATCAGTAAGGTATTAAATTAATTTAATAATAAATTTGTTAATTAAATTATTTATTGACTAATTATTAATTATCTAAGCAACTCATTAAATTAATTAAGCAGTCAGTAAATAATTTAATTATTAAATTAGTAAACCAAAAAAACACATAAATTAATAAGTAAATATTTAATTAATTAGTGAAAAATTAATTTTGTAAAAAAATATCAAATAAAAAATTCTAACTTTACCAGGACAATGAAAAAAATCATCAGAAAAATTCATTGAAGTGTGAACAGATGAAAAATTTTTCCAATTCAACACAAAGTGTGAACTGTTTAGAAAAATCGTCAGACTTTTATTTTAGTTGTAGAGATTTTAAATCGTTATTATCTGATGAAATAAAGTCCAACGGGAGAAAAATAAAAATTCCAAAACTCAATTTAGAAGAAGAAGGATCAGAAATTCAAAAAACTAATACACCTGACGTGTTAGGTATTAAAAGAAAATAATTAAATTTTGAGAAATAATATTGAAAAAATATTCAACGAAATAAATATAGAAAATATTTGATAATTTGAAGGATCGAAAATTCCAATTCCTTCGAGAAAGTCGAATGTTTTTACAAAAACCGAATCAAATGAACATTTCAAAAAACTAGAATTAACTAGATTCGATAAGAATAAAGGTAATAAATCAATCTCTACATTTACTCTCTCAAAAAATAGATCAAATCTTTAAACAGTTCTTTATAAATAAATTTAATTTAATTTTTAGAAAATTTTGTAAGTGTTTTATTTTTTTAATTTGTAAAATTCAATTTGAATTTTTTAATTCGTTAGACTAAGAAAAATTTTTAATTGGTAAAATGAATTAAATTCTTTCTCAATTGAAAAGATTGGAGTTAAAAAATTGTTTTAATTTATTTAATTGAATCTGAATAAAAAAAACTTAAATTTTAAGACAAAATTAAATTTTCCCAATAGAAAATTTACGATTGAGGGAATCGGAAATTTCTTTAGAAAAATTTGTACAACTGGAAATTTCAACGGGCTGTTGCAGTGCGTCACATTTAAACCAAAAATCATCTAAAAAAACCTAAAAAAAAATTAGAGAAAAAAATTTTGAAATTAAAAAATAATTTAAAATTAATACAATAAAAATTTCAAATAAATTCAAATTTTTAATTTAAAATCCTGTCTTTTCCTTTTCTTTTTTTGAATTTTTAAAGTATTTAGCTGTAAATTTATGGAAATAAATGACGTATTTTTCATTTACAAACTCGTGAATAAAAAGACATTCTGTAAATCTGCATATAATTAAGAATAATTTTTATTGTGTACATTATACACTAAATCACTTATTAAATGTAGTTTACAAAGAATTTCATAAATTCTACTTAACAACACTTTCTTCCCCTTTCCCCACGAAAAAAAGACTGCAAGCAAAAATTGAACTATTTACAATTTTTTTTGTTTGTTATATTTTATAAAATATCAAATATTCCATTATTCGAAAAAAATTAATTGCAATTATTTTCAAACGTGAAGAAGAATGAAAAAAATGTAACATTCAATTAATGCCATTCTGTGTTTTTCTTTCATCATAATCATACAAATACTTTTTTTTTCACAAAAAACAATAAAATCACTCATTCACAAAAGTTACGTAAAAATTTCTTATTCACGAATAAATTTAGAATTTTAGAATATAGAAATACGTATATTTCTCAGTTACATACAAAACAAATTCACGCACACACAGTTAAACTGGAATGTTTCTTTTGTTCTTTTGGTATTTCTTGTTCCATTAATTTTAATCTTGGTATAATTTATCAGACTTTATATATTATTATAAACAGTGATAAATTATAGAAGTATAAAATGTACAATTATAAAATGCACAATTGTAAAATCACAATTGTAAAATTTACAATATAATTATAAAATATACAATTTTAGTTATGACATAGAATTATAATTGTATTGTTTATAATTATATTATATATAATTAATTATACAATATTGCATTGTATTTAAAAAATTGATAAAGTTAAAATTTAAAACAATAATTCAGTAAAATTAGTCGAGGAACAAATAAAAATAATAAAGAAATTAGTCCGTATTGACAATTGTAGCTGCCCTTAGAAAATATATTATCTACTTCGTTGAAATCATTAAAATAAAAAATATATATCACTTATTCCGTTTGGTACAAAAAAAATGCGCCCGTTCACATTTTAAAATGTGATAAACACATCAAGATTAAAGACTATTTTTAATTTGCGGCAGTTCATTCTGAGTTGATTTAATTAAATTCTAAAGAATACTGTAACTAATCGTTCGATTTCTAATGCACTTGTTTTTTTAAATGCTCAGTACTTTATATCGTAACGTGTTGTAAAATAATAAGATAAGAATGTGAATTTGTTTTTTTTTTCTTTTTTTAAATTTGTTCCTAAAGCATTTTTTCTATTGATCTAAAAATACCAACTCTCCATACCTCAAATTTTACTATTCGTTTGCATTTGTGATGAGTCTGTTGAATATCTTCTCTCTTGTTGTGCATTTTTTAGCCATTGTCGATGCTCACAAAGATAAGGATAAAGTGGTATCACCATTACGCTAATATCATCGACAGACGCAATTGGCAATAATGTCTCGTCATTGTCGTCTGGATTTTCCGATTTTCCACGCCATAAACGGCCAATTAATTTCCCTCTTGCCGCTTGTACTAATTCTTGAGCACCCATTGTTAATCTGAAAATTAAATCGATATACAAACAAGGAACAATTTTTTTTTCTTTTATATTAAATGTTTATTTATTTATTTTTATTAAATTACCTGTACTCTAGAGATGGTGTATCGGGTGCTAATGTCTTCCTGAGAATATTTGCAGCATCATTGTCACTGACAACGTCCCATAAACCATCAGTGGCCATGATAATGCAATCTCTTTCGCTTAAATTATAATCCTCTAAATTCAGAGATTGGACTTCTGGTTGTGATGATAAAAATGGTTTAATATTTACTCCCGTATTAACTGCCTTTAGGCCGTGATCGCCAAAACCCCTAGTCACTCCTATCGTTCCCATTACTCGACTCTGTTAAATAAAAAAAGAATTAAAATTTACCTTTCACAAAAAAGGAAAAAACAAGTTCGTCTTGAAAAATTTTATATTTTCAAGAATAAACATAAATTTTCGAATGATTACAGATTTAAAATTTAAAGAATCCACTTATTAAGTACAAAATATTATTAATATTCTTGTTTTTATTCAAAAATTTTAATAAAATTTTTCGCAAGAATTTCATTATTCTCATAAATAATATTGTTTACAGCAATTTAATTATTTTCAATACAATTTTAATAAAATATCTCGTAAGAAAACAATTATTGTAACAAATATTAATTAAATTCGATCATTTTCAAGAATTTGAATATAAATTCAATTATTCTTGACAATTTTAATAAAATTCTTCTGAGAAATTCAATTATTTTTAATACAATTTTAATAAAATTTCTAAGAAAAAATTCAATTATATTCAAGATAATTTCAATAAAATTTCTCTAACAGGTTTAATTATTTTTAAAAATTGTAATAAAATTTTTCTAAACAATTCAATTGTTCTCAAAAGTTCTTAATAAAATTTATTCTTTGTAAATTTCAATTATTTTAAAAAATTTCAATTAAAATTATTTTTAAAAATTTACATTATTTTTACGAAATATAATGAAATTCTTAAGAAAAAAATGTAATTATTTACAAAAACTCTAATAAAATTGTTTAAAAGAATTATCATTTCCTATGAATAATTTCAATATAATTTAATAGGAAAATTATGAATTACAATTAATTGTAATTAATTGAAATAAATTCTTCAAAACAATTAAATTATTTTAAAGAATTTTAATAAAAATCTATCCAAGAATTAAATTATTTTCAATACAATTTTAATTACATTTTCTAGAAAGAATTCAATTATTGAAAAAAATATGGATAAAATTCTTGAAAATAATTCAATTATTTTCAAATTTTTTGATGAATACTTTGCAAGAATTCAATAATTTTCAGTACATGAATTTTAAAATTGAAAACATTTAAAAAGGAAAATTATTTCAAATGTTAGGAAACAAAAAAGCAAACGGCAACAAACTTCAAACAGATTACCGGAATACAACGATTATTAATATAGATTATTTAATCCTTTATTAAAATTATTTTCTTTTTACTAATTAGTAAGAAAGGAAGATATTAAAAATAAAATTATTACTCACTCTCTTTCCATGGCCGGAAATAAGTGGTAATCTTAAATCCGGTTGTGTTAAGAGTTTATAGGCCCAGCCAGTCATATAGGGTTCCCGATACAAAATCATAGAGCCCAAATCTTTTTGCAATGGTCGCTTTTTAAACTCCAAGGACGTAAAGTGCCCCTTTAATAAATCATTGCCCTTTAAATAGCCTAAAGCTCGTATACGATTTGATTCAGAATCCGGAGTGTGATCTCTCGTTAAAGCTCGTTCACTTTCTCCAAGAACAAGAATTGCCCTAATTTCATCAATCAAAATTAGTTAAATTAGTTCGATATTATAAATATCAAATTAGTTAAGAAAAACTAAAAAGTTTCTTAATACTTGAATAAACGAAATAAAATATTTAAATATTAGAAAACAAATTAAAAAATGCAAAAACCTGGAATCGCCAGCACCAGCGGCATACAATCGTCCATTAAGAAATAAAACTGATATCGCCGTACAACCACCACCTCCATTTTGAGCTTGAAGCTCAACCATTTGATCCATTTGTCTATAAGCTAATTCTATCGCGCCAATTACTAAATCTCTGCCTTTGACTAAATTCTCTTCTTCTTCGCTCAATAAAATATTCTCCGGAATAGCGAGTAACCTTTCCTGAAAAAAAACAAAATTATTTTCACAATCATTTAAAAAACGAATCAACGTTCGCAAAAAGAATCTAAAATTATAAATTAAATGACAATTATAAATTTATAATTAGAAAGAAAATAATATAAATTTTTCAGATAGAAATTATTTTGTCCCTCTTACAAGAATAACTCGATGAAGATATAATCTCGAGGTGAGTGCAACTTGATATCCAGCATGTCCATCAAACATGGAAAATAGAATGTAAGGTAATGAAGTATTTGAATCGGGTAATTTTAAGTCTCCTCGCGTTGCCGTTGCCTGATCTTCATTCCAGGTACTTTTACCTGCATTTATACATTCTGCATAGCCAGCACACCAGGGCAAACGACTCAAATCTCGTGGAACCATAATCGGTCTCACTCGATGATCAGCACTAACCTGTAATTCGTAAAAATTCAATTAATCAAAATCATAATTTATAACTAAAAAATAAAAATTATTCATAAAATATATTTATACAATTATACGTAAAATTATTAATACAATATTAGTTAATAATTAAATTGGAAAAACTAAAAGAATAAGAATTGTCATAATGCAGACAAAAAAATACATAAATATTTATTAGTCAGTAATTAAGAGTTAAAATTAAACACATAAATTAACAGTATTTATATATTCATACCTGTATTTCATCATTGGTAAGACCTAAAAAACTCGGTCTACTGTAAGGTTTGCATTCCACTTCTAACACTAAATTGGAATTAATATAATCCGCAACTGCATCACTGTCTGAATCGTGAGGATATTGTAAACCCAATTCACTTGCACCGACAGCGTTCATTAACGCGGATTTAAATCGGCTCAACATATTGATAGACTTATTTTAAATTGTTCTTGGAGTGAAAATTTTTTTCAAATAAAAACAAAAGTTAATTAATTATACGAGGGCGAAAGGCGAGGTTATTTACATTTAGTAGGAAATCGATTTCTAAAACAATTAACGAAACATTATCATAACAATTAAAAAGAATCACGTGTAATAATTACTGTATTTGAATAATCCTTTTTTTTATCTTATCACACACCCACACAGAACTAAAACTTTTTTAGTTGTTTGTTATAAGATATTTATAGGTTAACTGTCAGCTGTCAGAATATATTATATATTTTTCACCATATGAATGAAAATTACATACGTTTCTTTAAATTGTAGACACTTTTTGTTTATATCTTTATATCTTTAAATATCCATAACTCATTAGGTGGAGATTTTATTTTTAAATAGAAAATTAAAATAACAAGAGGTTATTTTGACAGTAGTGTTGGCAGATCAGCTGCCGCAAGTGTACCAATTGTTTAGTGTAAAAATTCACGTCATCGCGTAAAGCGGGAATTTGAAACTATGAAAACACGTTAAAAATAAACTTTTTCATTTACGAGTGGAGTATAAAATTTAGTAAATAAATATACTATTAATTTCTAAGTATATATAAAATTTTTCACTTTTAAATAATATCATTTGTTGTCTTTGTGTTTCTTGTGTTTATAATGCAATTTTTAAATTTTATTGTTGTCAGTCCTGCCTGGTGACAACTTTGGTTCATACACGCATGCGCGTTCTAGACGTCAATACTTTGGGGTTATGTTTATATTTATAAAAATAAATAAACATTTCTGTGAGAAAAGAAATTATTGTTTTGCTTTTTTAAATGTTGTTTGTGCAAGAATTTGTTATTTAAAACTTAAATAGAAGAATTAAGTACGCAGAAGATTGAGTGCAGCATTTTCTGTATGTAATAATGTCTGAAAGAAGATCGAAAATGAAACCACCACGAAGGACAAGTCAGGTAAATTAAATTATTTCGTAACAAATTTACTATTTTTCAATATTTAATTAAAGTAATTGTAAAATATTTCGGATATTTTGATTTTTTTCTGTATTTGAAAATTATTTTGAATGTTTTTTATTTGCACGAGACATAACCTCAATCTTCGAAAAGAGTAATTTTGCATTATTTACACACTTTTTGCAATTATTATTATTATTATTAGTTATTATTATTTTAATTATAACTAATAATATCAATTATTATTTTTATTATTATTGTTTTTATTAATTATAAAATCTGAAAATATTAATATTTTTTACATTTAAAACAATGTAACTATAAATTTTCATTATAATTTTTTGATTAGAATTCTGAGTCCAGTTCGAGTTTTGAATGTACTTCGTCGGGATCCTCTGAAGAAGAGGAGACAGATGCCCGAGATTTAAAGCCAATTAAAGAATATTTAAATGATCGTCGAGAACTTGCTTCTCAACTTTTTAAATCAGTCAAAATTGAGAAAATTCGTATGATGTTGCCTCAAGCACTAAAGGTAAATTGAAAAAACCTGAAAATGTTGTTAAATTTTCTCGAAAAGTGTTAAAAATTACTTTATTTTTTGCAGAGTATGAATTTATACGATCTCGAAGAATATTGTGGAAATGAATTAAGTGGAATGTCAAGGAAAAGAATTCTTAGCATTATAAATGGTCAACGAATGGCCGAGTCTTCAGACACTGACGAAACTGACGATTCTGGTAAATATTTTTAGGAAACTTTGTTTCTTTACAAAAATTATAAAAAAAGAATAAAAATTCAATACTTTTTCATGTAATAAAAGCGTAAAAACAACTTTTTTTAATACAAAAAGCAAAATTCTATTTTATATTACAAAAAAATAGAATATAAAAAAGTAGAAATATAAAAGAGTAAAATTAATGAAAAAAGTAGAAATAATCTAAAAAAGTAAAAATAATATTAAAAATTATTTCCTTGAATTTAAAAATAATTGTGAATATTTTAAGACCAGTGAATTTTTTTTAGGTCCATCACTTGAGATAATATCCGACACAGAAGAATGGTTAACAGACGACGACGTTGTGATAAAAGAGGAAAATCCATCGGACAAATCAAAGCGAAAAAAGCCAACGGACAAATTAAAAGGTAAGACAAAACCTCAATCGAAAGATAAAACAAAAGCAGCAGCACCAAAACCAGTCGCCACCAATCAAGCAAAAACAAAAAAAGCAACCAACGTTAATGTTAAAATTGAAGGCGAAAAACCAGAACCAAAAGAAGGCGAAAGTCTCCTTGATCTTCTTGAACTTGAAATGAGAGCACGAGCAATTAGGGCTTTAATTCGCAAAGAAGAAGACATTATTCCAGATAAAAATACCAGTTCTACAAGTGCAACAAAAAATAATCCCACAACAGCAAATACAAATGCAAATGCATCGACAAGTAAATACGTCGTTCAAGAAATGCAACAAATCAGTCTTGCATTGAAACAAGGAAGTGGATTAGACGACGACGTCATGTTAGTCATTCAACCAGCACCGACAATTGAATTATTATCCAGTGAAAGCGAAAATGAAAACGAAAAGGAAAAGGAGAAAAACGAAGATAAAGAAGAGGAAATTGTAAAAAACTTGGAGAAGGAAAAAACAACGAAAGAGAATCAACAGAAAGAAAAATCGAATACCGAGGAATTTGAGGAAAACGAGAAAGCAGAGTCCAGTAAAAGAATAAACAAAAGATTAGAAAACGAACGAGGAACCGAAACTACGCACAGTACCAGTACAATCGGCGATGAACCGACAGAAATTCTCGATGACGATTTAAAACCAGAGGAAGCAACCAACAGCGAAAAGAATCCACCAGAAATTAATTTAATCGAAAAATCGTCTTCTGAAAATAATGAAAAATCTAATCAATCCAATTCAACCAAGGAGTCTGTAGTTGACAAAAATTCCCCAAAGAAAAGAAAATCCGAAAGTGGGACAACAATCCCCCTGATTGAAAATGAACCAACACTTAAAGAAATTAAAATTGAACAAATCGAACCAAAAGAAAGAATTGATAAATCAGAAAATCAAAATTTAGAACCAAATAAAGAAGAGAATACAGAAACAAGGGAAAAATCGCCACCGAAAGAATTGGAAGACGGTGAATTAGCTTCCGAAAGTGATTCAATAGAAGAGACCGAAGTGGTGACAAAAAAAGGTACAAACAAACGATTCAGAAAACGTAGACTTAAAAAAATGAGCGAATCATCTCAGAAGGATGTTGAAAATACGGAACAATGTGAAGATAATAAACTGAAAAAAATTGAAATCAGTCTGGTTGATGGTAAAATTTCTGAAAATTCGAAAGAAACAGAAAAAACTTCGTCAAAGAATGAAAGAAAAATTTCCGAAGAATTCGACAAAAATGACATGGATGAAATAATAGATCTCGATGATTATCCTGACGATATGGATGATTTGGACACCACTCAAACGAACAGTACGAGGGAAAATTCGAAAAATTCCAAAAATGCAGAAAATGGAAAAAATGCAGAAAGTACAAAAAATACTGAAAGTGCAAAAAATGCGGAAAGTACAAAAAATACCGAAAGTACAAAAAATACTGAAAATACGAAAAATACAGAAAATACCGAAAATTCGAAAAGTGACGAACAAAATGAAACAACGGAAACATGGGCATCGCGTTACTATAATACAGACGATGTGCAAAATGTCATCAAGGAATCGAAAATACAATCGGAAATACGTAAACGTTTACGTGAGAGGCAACGATTGAGTAAATTGAATAATTCCCCGAGTACAAGTAAATTGGAGAATAATTCGCCGACTGATAATAAAATTGAGGAGGAACAACAAAAACCATTGGGATTAGTTGAGGAATATTTAGCATTAAAAGCAGCGACTGCAAGTGCTGTTGAATCAAGTTCAAATCAAAAGTCTTCTACTGGGGAAAAAATTAAAAAATCACATCGAAAACGTGATAAAACAAAAATACATAATTCCAAACAAAAATCAAGATCTAGTGATAAAAATTCATCCAAGAATGGCGAAAATAAAAAAAACACTCTCCAATAGACTGGATTAAATATAAGTACTCAATTTTTTTTGTTCTTAAATTTCTTCTTAAAAAAAATATTTTATATTCAAAAAAATAAAAAAGTGGAGAAAAAAGACAATTGTTTTTTGGAAAAATTGAAATCCATTCTGCTTTCTAACAAATTGCTTGTTGGATTTATTTACGATTATATTTTAAAATAATACCTATGAATTTTAAATTGGAAAAAAAAATCTCTCAGGAGGTAAGAAATAATATTATTCAATATTAGTTTCATTAAAAAGTGAAATAAGAATTTACTAGAATATTTTCTTCATTTATTGAAAAAATTTATTTTATTAAAATGAAATTCGTTTTTTTGAAATTAACTAAATTTTTAAATCTATAAGTAATTGAAAAAATTTGGACAAAAACAGTTACAATTTTCAAAAATAATTAAAATTGAGAAGATTTTAAACTAAAATTTTAAAAAAATTTAAATTTCTTTGAAGAAATTAATAATAATTAAATATTTATTTTTAAATTTATTTAAATTCAATAATAATTTTATCTAAAGTTATGAAAAATATGTTTCTGAGAAATTTTAATTTGATTGTTTAAAGATATTTAAATTTTAAATAAATTTTAAAAAAGTTTATCACTCTAATTTTATTTTAGAAATAGGCAGACACTGTAAAAGATTTAAATTAAATGTTTGCTTCTGGAAATTATTTTTTTTAATAATAATAATTTTTATGAAAAAGATAATTTAATTGATGAACCCTCAAAATTTTTTAGTGATCAGGGAAAAAATTGAAATAAAATCTGGAAATCAGGGAAAACTGACATCAAATTTTTGTGTCAGTTCTGTTGAATAGTAATTTTGAGAAAAAATTCTAAAGGGAAAATTTTACCGAATAAAAATCCAGCTGATTAAAAATTCACTTTTATATTTTTTTATTATTCATTGCAAATATTTCTTAAAATAAACTTATAAAAAATATTATTTATAATACTGAAAATTGTTCGAAAAAAATGAACAAGTTTTACTGGCCACAGTTTTTTTTGAAAATCTTGTTAATTATGAATGTCAATTATAATAACGAGTTTTTCATATTTCTGACTTATTAATTATTGAAACGTCATTTTAATATTAAATTCTAAATTTTTCACAATCAAATTTATCAAGTTCGTAAGCGACAATTTTGGTGATTTTCGATTTTATCATTTCGATTATTTCATTTTCCCATTTTTTCGATATCCAAGTGGCGAGTGATGATGCCAATGAATTAAATGGCGATAAACCGGTGACATTAATAGTAATTTTTCCATAATCAAGAATTTTAAAATATTCCATTGTTGTTTTACATGGTTTTGAATTGTAGTCAACTGAAACTTTTGCTTCTATCGATATACCATCAATTCTCGCCGATAACACGCCATCGAGTTTTATTATTCCAAATTTTAACTGAAAAAATGATTTCATATGTTAATTGTTAAATTAATTATGTCATTTCTCATTGGGAATTAATTATTTCAGTTACTATAATTAATTATTAACTATAATTAGTTTAAAAAATTTTCAATTTCTTTTAACGTACCCTATATTGACTATATTGAATTAAGGCTTTTGTTAATCCAAAACCACAAGATGCTGAAAATTTTTTGCCATTTCGATCGAGAACAGCGTCTGTTGTTCTCTGAAGTGTTGTAAGGTCACTAAAATTTTATTTATTTATTATTTTTAGTACTTTAAGCAAATATTAATTATTTTATTGATTACAAAAATTTTTTTATGAAAAATTTATAGGAAAATAATTTCTACCTAAAGTAACCATCGACAGTGATAAAACGACCATTTGTTTCAAAAATTCCAGAACCAACTTTAAATCTTTCATCGATATTTGGAACTCTTATCATTTCATTGTGATTTTTCTTTAGGTGATTTATAACTTCATGCAAGACAAAATCGACAATATGATTTATATATGACTGAAAAAAATGATTAACAATAGAAAAATTATTAATTATTAAAATCAGTTCATCATTTTTTTTTTTTGAATGAAACAAATAATTATAATTTTACTTGAAATTGAGTAGAACTATTGAATAAATTCCTGGCATGTAGTTCAGGCAGTGAATATTCATTTTCAATTTGATTTTCATTTTCATCATTATTAGTGGAAATGAGAAATTCAGAAATATATGGCACGGTGATTTTTGTAAATAATTCCTCCACCATACAAATTTTTGCTTTATTTTTTATTGCAACTTCCAATGACTTAGGAATATTCAAACTGCAAAATAAAAAATTTAAATAACATTTTTCTTGATTATGACCAAAAAGTAAATTTTTAATTTCAATGATTTTACAATTCTTACCTTTGGCTTTCATTTCTCAGTAAATATATATTGCAGTTTTCAAGTGTTCTCGTGTCCTATTATTTGCAAAAATAAAATTGTAAATATTAATGTGAATTTAATTCTTTTTGCAATTACCAAAATAAATTCGAATTATTTAATTAATTAATTTATTTATTAATCTATTAATTATTTAATTTACTAATTAAATAATGAGTTAGTTGACTTAGCAAATTAAATTCTTTAATTAATAATTAATAACTGAGTTTATCAATTAATATGATCAAAAATTAATTTGATAAATTAATATTTTCAAAATACTCACCTGCAAATAAGCAGTGCCTAATACTTGATAATAAGATGCTAATGCAATTTTGTCTGACTGTCCTGAAGAAGTTATTAAGTTTCCTGATTGGGAAAAAATGTTTATAGGAATAATTTCAGTATAAAATATCTCGGAAAATTAGATAAAAATAATTAGCACCATTAATTTAATATTTAATAAAAAATTTAATATTTTAAACGTTTACAAATAAAAATTTATTAGATAAGAATTTGAAAAGTAATTGAAAATTTTAAATATGTAATAAAAACGGAATTTAAAAATTAACTCCAAGTTTTTAATAATAAAGAATTAAATTTATTATAATTATAAAATGTTTATAACTCAGACGTACCTTTAAAAATGATTATTGTGTCATTTAGAAGAATATTGACTAGATTTGTATCTGGATAAGTGAAAACTCTAAATTTATCCATTGAGTATAAAATACTTAATTCACCCTTCTGAAGTTGAATATCATTTCCATTTGATGTATTTACATCATAATCCCATATATTATTGCACTCTAATAAAACCATTAGTTTATATAAATAATATTTAAATCTAGATTTTAAATTCTTTAAAAAATTTTATTTAATAAAAAATAAAAAATCTAGATTTATCTTGACATTAAAAAATGTATTACATTTTTATTCTATTAATGAAACAACCAAAAATAATTCGATTTGCCAATGAAAAATTCTTAAATAAAAAATAAATAATAATAATAATTATTATGCGTAAATAAAATTGTTTCCTAATCTTTTGTTTAAAAAAGAAGATAATGACTCACCAATTCTTTCTAGAGATGAATAAGCCAGTGGCAGTGAGAAAATAAGAAGAAAAATATAACGTATCATTTCTAATCTGTTAAGAAAATTTATAGTATTTACTTTCTTTGTTATCAATAATTTTAACCGAATTTTAATTCTTTAATATTTACTATTAGTAATAGTAATAATAATAATAATAATGCTTAAAATAAAACAATGAATAGCAAACTGGTATTTTCTGTGGCCTTTGGTCCACAAACAATACTCTGTTATTCATACAATTAAAAATCTTTAAAAAAACTACAAAAATAAAATAATTTTTATAATATGGTAATAAATAATAAATATTAATAATTAATTAATTATAATTTCTAAAAATTAATATAAAATATTGAATAATAATAATGATTAAACATAATTATAGTAATGGAAATAATGATGATAATAATAATAAGAATATATACATATAATAATGATGCTATCACTCGGTCGATAAAATATTAAGATGATGAAAAAATCGATCACTTCGAGTCAGGATGATCCTGACTCGGAGTGATCGATTTTTTCATCATCTTAATAATAATAATAATAATAATAATAATAATAATAAAATCTAATTAATTTTTAAAATTCAGTGTTTATTTATTTATATGTTAACGGCCTGACAAAAGATTAATTAAGAAAAATTATTGTTAAGAAATTTTTAATTTGTTGTTATTATTCATAGGGACGAAAAGTTTTTAACACCCTGTATATAATGACAATTTCACACAAAGAATTCTATGATTTTAATTATAAGGTTCTTCAACAATGAAAAAAAAAATTTCCTCTCTAATTACTTATCACAATTGCGATAAAGATTAAATTTTTCTATTGCGTCACTAAATATAATAAACATGTCAATTTTTTCTTTTCAAACATTGCAATTATTATTTGTTAAGTTTTATATAGAGAAAATAAAAATAATAAATTGAAAAATAAATAGCAAATAATAATAACTAACAAAATAAATTTTAAATATATATATACAGAAATGCGTAAAATTGGTAAATTGCGTAAATTTTAGGAAAAAATGTGGAGGCAAATTTGGAGTAAATTTATTATAATTTTTCTACATACCTTGATTATTGTCTTCTCATTAGAAATACAGAGTGCAAATTGTGAAGGAAATCACAAAGAAGTCTTTATTTAAATATAAATGAGAGTACACAGATAAGTTGAATAAAAAAAATTACAAAAATAAAATATTTCATAAGATGCTGTTTAACGTCAGTTAATGTAGAGCATCACTGAAAACATATAATGAGAGTGACTAGTTTGTCCGAGGAAGGCATTCTTGTAATCAATTGTGGTGGGGGGACGCTTTAACTTCTCAAATGCGTGCGATCAAGGACGCTATTATTTTCTTTGCTGTTTACTTAACAAAATATTGTTTTAAATTATTAAAAAATTATACAATTATTATTTGTTTGTTTGTTAAATATTTATTTTATTATTCTTTATAATTTTTAACCAAATTTTGTTAAGTAAATATAGAAAAAAGAAACGGCATCGTTTCAATTTTCAAATAGTGGTAAAATGTCCCCTCAGTGCCGGAGATTAGGGATAAAAGAGTTAATTTGCAATTAAATTAAAAATTAAATTGTAGTTGATATAAAAATAAATGTCGATTATAATTTTCTGTCAAGCATATTTTTTTTTTGTAAATTAATGGTAATGTTAAATTTATTGCTACATAGTGGTAGTTGGCCCCTTTGCTCCCTTTCTCTTAATCCGGCACTGTGGAGACGCTTTAAGGCTGTTGCTGTTCCTATGTAGGTATTACAGAGTCCTGTGATTAAAAATTAAATTCAAAATTATAAAGTAAATATTAATGTTAATTTTTATATATTTATATATAGAGTAGTAAAATTTACTCCAAAAATAGTAAAAATTGCTATAATTTAAAGTAATTCCAGATAGTTTTAGTTTCAGTACACAAAAATATAGTAAAAATTACTTTATTCGTTTTATCATTGTTATAAAACATGTACGTACATTGTAATCAAGGATACTTGACTTGACTCGAGCTAATTATAGTTCCATACAAATTATTTATTAATTATGACAATAATACCATGATAATTGAACGAAATGTACGTGTACATTTAATGGGCATTGACCTTTGTTTAATGTCAATAATTGAACTTCAATTTGCTTCTCTCTCTTTCTCACTCTACTTTGCCATGAAATATTTACGAATCAATTAACCTTATTAATTGCCATATTTCATATTATTAGAATATAAATCAAAATTTCCGATTATTTAAAAATTCCTGAATATATGATGTATTTTTATAATTATGAGCAAACCTTTTAATAACTAACTTCAACTAGTCGTCTATACTTTTATTATCACTTAGAAAAGTTAAAAATTTTATTTAACTTGTTTTTGGCATTTTTAAAAAAAAGTGAATGTGATAAATAATTAAATTAATTAATTTAAATATATATTTATTTCGCATTCAATTATTCGACTAAAATTCATATGAAGAAAACTTTTTTAATATATCATTGTAAAAGGGTTTTAGGAGAACTATGTATATTACAAATTGTTTTTCATCTTGCCAATTAAGCATCACTTAAAAAGTGATAATTACATTTTAATTTACAAATAACGACTGGTGCAGTCGGCTTTATCGATTAAGACATTGTCTATTTCTAAAATTAAATTTATAATTTAAAAACAAAAAATTTCTTCAAGGAATAAACTATTTCTTCTAATATATTAAAATTTTATTGTAAATTTATTTTAATTTAGTAAATTTAACTTATTGTAAACGTTTACAACTATAAAGTGTATTAATATTTAATTTTCAATCATATTCTTCCATTTTTCAGTAATTTGGTTCATTCTTATAAAAATCAAGAAGAAGGACAGGAAGGATGTAGAAAGAAAAAAAGTTTCTACTTGTGTAGCAATTTGTATTTGAGCGGTATGTGAGAGAATTTTGTATATTTTCGTGTCAATCAGGAAGTGATTAAGGCAGTTTTTAATAAGGTAAGATTATTTATTTAAATTTAATTTATTTTCTATATTTTGCGAATCATCATAATCCTTACACTGCAAAAATAAGTGTCTTATTTGATATCTTAAAATAAGATGTAAGATGGAAAAATGGTATCTTACATCTTAAAATAAGATGTTTTCTAAAGTATCTTACTGATTTTTAAGATGTTTTATACGTCTTAGATATTTCTTCTATCTTAAAAAAGTAAGATACTTCTGTAAGTTTTTTAAAGTATCTTAAATTAAGATGTTTCTGTCTCAATAAGATGTTTAGCGATAAGATACTTGTGAATTGTAAGATGCGAAAAAAATTTAAGTTACTAAAAACTAAGATGCATAAAATGTCTTACATATAAGCCCATAGTTAACCTCAAAACTTTTTTCCCGAAAAATATGCTGAAAATATGTACGAAGATGCTTTTAGTATCTTAAATTAAGATATTTTAAATGACTAAAAAGTGACTACAATAACATCTTAGAAATGACTACCGAAACATCTTAAATAAGATACTACTTTTTGCAGTGTAGTAAAAAAAAGAAGAAATATTGAATATTAAGAAATTCGGTTTTTCGAATTTTTGATAATTTTTAATAAATTTAAATTTTTGACCAAAGAGTAGAGACTATTAAATAAGTAAAGTGTTTTTGAAGAGCCCAAAAATATTGAAGCTAAATGCCATAAAACACAAGAGAAAATTGTTGAATTTTAAGAAATTCGGCTTTTGGAATTTTTGTATTTTTGTAGCAACCCTGAAAATTGAAAAAAATAATTTCGATATTCATATATTAATTGTTTAGAAAATAAACCATTAGACGCAATCATAAATGCTGAATACTAAAAGAATTGCATTCCAATTAGTTCTACTGTAAAGAGTTTTAAATTTTGTAATTATAAAATCAGACTTTTGTATGTACGGTGCTAAAAATTAATATTTTCTTGCACGATTTATCATTTTAAGTAGTAAAGATTGTAAGTATGACAAAAATAAGAATTCTGTTGATAATTTGCACGGGCAGCATTTTTAAAGGTCTTAATCAATAAAAATAAGCCTGTCAATCTGTTAGGTATTAATAAGACTTGGAAATTTTTTCATATCCGATTAAAAAATATTAAGCTGAATGATAGTTATCATTTCTTCCAAAACGAAATGCATATTCTTTATTTTTTTTTTGGCAGATTGATGCAACACTATCCGTAGCTCATTTTTTGAGATAAATACAACCCATTTTTACAATAAAATTTCAAAATAATAAATCCGAATTTCTAATCAAAAAGCATAATTTGAAGAATTTTAAAAATTTATTTTCCGATTAAATATTTGTTGAATTGTTTAATGAAGTTTGTATTGATGTTTCTTGATGTCGAAGACAGGTAGGACAGGTAGGACATAGTTTTATATTTAAGTTACAACCTGTGATTATGGAAAGAGAGGAAATAATAGTAGTGGCAGTAGTAGAGAGTGCATGCAGGAAGAGAAATAATCGATTTCCGTAAGTGATATCCGCGTGTTGAAGAAGCTCTCTGTGGGTCTTCATAAGTCTTGACAACGAAGAGAAAGTAGTTTCCTTTTCAAATGTCCTTCTTCTTTTACTTCTGCAGATATCTCGTTACTTCTTTAAATTACATGCTGTCTTATGGAAGCCCCATCATAGCCGCTGTCACACGCACAAGAGTCTTATGTCTAATCTTGTGCAGTGGCCAGCAGCTGCATTAGGGTCCGTTTTTCTTCAACACTAATCTGCTTTACCTGTAAAGAAAAAAGAATTATTTATTTTACTTTTCTCATCTTGAAAGATATTCTCATTTTTGGTGAGAAAATCTTATATTTAATTCTATATTTAGCCAAATCGAATAACTTGATTTAAGAATCAGTTTACAACTGGAGTTTTGGGAAACATTCGATTACTTCGCAGATGATTTTAATTTTGAAGCAAATTGTTATATAGTAATATTAGTTAATAGAATTGTGGATATTATTTTACTTGTATTTAAAGAATAGTTTTTATTTAGTGACATAAAAAGATGTGTGTATAAAAGGAGGGTTTATGACACAGTTTCACTCGTGATAAAATATTCACGAGTGTAAAAGTTTTCCTTACATAATAATTATTCGATCACGGTTGTCGTTCGTTAACCTTGCATTACTTTCTGAAGAAAATAATTTTGCTATCAACTTTTTACATTTATAGGATTGGATATGTGGTATTATTTTTTCTTATGGCTACCACATTAATGTCTGGCTGACACAAATATTATGTAATTGTGTCGTCTGTAGTTTGTATAATAACTAAAGTAGTGGTATGGTTTGATGAGAATCAAAAATTTATGTACTTATGATAATAAAGTTTATGTATTTGTGATATAAAGTTTATGTATTTAGGACTTAAAGTTTATGTATTTAGGACTTAAAGTTTATGTATTTACGACTTAAAGTTATGTATTTATGATATAAACCCAGCATTTTTGCTGGGATACTGTTCGGTCTGATAACAGTACCTTGGGATGAAGATTAATTCAGCAAAAATGCTGGGTTACGTTCTAGGATGTTGTTAGTGCTTCTCTTTCTCTACTAATTTCTTTTTGCATAAGATGCATTTTCTGCTGTTTTCAGACATTCAGCTTCTTCTCAGTTCTTCTCTCAATACTTAAACCATGCAGATGATTTGTCTATTGTTGTAGAAACTTCCTATGATAATAATTATGGAACAATTTCTACCAACCGTTAAAATCAAAAATGTCTTCTTGGTAAATGCCTTCTTGTCCAAGGTGCTCTTCTGTCCCCTTGTCCAAAAAGAGTATTCCGGACCTTTTTGAGTCCCTAAAAATCTGATAGTCTTTCATACTTTTTTGAATCTTTAAAGACTTTGAAACTCTTCTAGACTTCTGTGAGTCCTTAAAGAATTTGTTGAAAGTCATGCAGACTTCTTTAAATCTTTCAAGAGTTTGAAAGTCTTGAAGCAATTTTTGAATCTGTTTTGAGACCTTAAATCAAGTCTTGCAGACTTTTTTAAATCTTTGAAGAGTTTAGAAGTCTTCCAAACAGTTTTAAATCTTTGGAGACTTTGAAAGCCTTCCAGATTTTTTTGAGTCTGTAAAGACTTTTTGTAGTCTTCCAAATATTTTTGGGTCTGTAAAGACTGTAGAAGTCTTCTAACTTTTGGTGTCTATGAAGACTTTGAAAGCATTCCTCAATTTCTATAGTTTCTAACTCTCCTTCTTCTAGAAATTCATTGTTACCTCTAAAACTTTTATTGACTCCTCTGGTCTTTTTGAACTTTCTCATCCAGACTAATGCTTTATAAAAATGCTATTCCACCCTTTTGGTGCTGCTTTCTTTGCCTTTAAATTCTTTAAAATTGATTAATTAGTATTAATAATTATAGTTTTTACTATTATTATTTACTATACTATTAATTGTTATAATTTTTACTATTATTTAATATTTACTATATATTTACATTATTTACCATATATTTATTCAGTCAAGTAAATAGTAATCGTTTTTAATATAGAAAATGGTTCGGAAAGTAAACTAATAATATAGTTAGGGGGGTAAAGCACGTTGATTTGCGATCGTTGAGGTTAAGCACAGTTGGGAACGGTTGGTACTCGGATGGGTAAACCTTTCTTGTAATAAAAAAGTTGTAGAAACATTTTTTCAACTAAAATTTTAGCAGAATATTTAAAAAAGTAGAGGATAAAGAAAAATAAAGACTGTCAATAAAAACGTATTAAATTAAAATTAAGCGCTTAAATAAGAAAAAATAGAAGAAAAAAAGTCAATAAAGAACTTTTCTATTTTTCCACTACTATCTTTTACACTTTTAACAACATCGTACCGTAAATAAAAATTTATTTATTATAAAAATTATTTAGTTTCGATATAGTATATTTCGTAACGAGTGCGAGCAGTTGTCAATTTTTGAATAAGCACTTTTTTTGGAACAAACTGTAGGCGAAGCGAAGCTTCGCCTACAGTTTGTTCCAAAAAAAGTGCTTATTCAAAAATTGGCAACTGCTAGCACTAGTTACGAACGATATTTTTCATAACAAGGTGCAAAAAAGTGCCCTTTTTTGCACCGCGTTATGAAAAATATTTATTTAATTCAAGTCGAAATTAAAATAAATTAGTATAGTAAATTATATAAATTATATATAAAGTATAGTAAACATTTCTTTAATAAATAGTCAAGATTGAACTATATTATAAATTAAACGTTAAATTCACAAAAAAGTTATAAAACTGACAACATAAAATTAAATACCCCACTCTTTAATGTGATAAGAATATAAAAATACAAGAACGTTTTTTCTGATTCGAAATCTTTTTGAAAAATAAATAAGAGGCAGAGGTAGTTTTCTATTGTATTGATGAAAAATTAATGAAAATGTGATGAAAATAGAAAAAAAAAATTATGAAAATTGCAATTGAGTAAATTAGTTTATAATGTGAATTGTACAAGTAGAGCAGTAAGTTTATATGTTAAGCTGTGGGGACTGGACATATGGTAACTATATAGAAGGGGTAATTCAGATCGAATACAAAATTCAGTATCTTCGATCTCAGTACAGCTATACTACATACCTACAAAAGATTGTCGTGTTGTAACTTGATCACAATTTTTCAAGTCAAGTGTTTATGAAATGAAAAAATTTTCCTTCCCTTTTACAGATGAAATTATAATTTTCATCACACACGCACATTTAGGGATAATTATTAATTTAATTAATTTGATTATTTATTCATCAAAGCAAATATTATTATTCATTTATTAAAATAATTGTTGCAACAATCATTATTCTTTATTTATTGCAATAATAATTATTTATTACAACAATTGTTATTTGTTAATTACAAAAAATATTATTATTTCTTCACATAAGTATAATACAGGTAAAAAAATTAATTCAAAACTAAAAAAAAAATGACGATTTTTTTATTTACAGTTTCAAAATGGTTTTATTTAAAAATAGTTTAGTTGTAACTAAG